AATGATGTCCCTTTGATTCCCACTGAAGACTTATAGTGATGACAGGGAAATTTAGGTACCTGGCCTCCAAGAAAATACTAATCACAGCAGCTTGTGTAAGGTCTCTGAGATTTTTTTCACTTGGATATGTACAGTAGGGTTCATCTGACTAAATTTCATCTCTGCAATTTGATGGCTGGTGTTCAAGTACTCACCCTGGGTCTCCTTTGAATTCATGGATTGGGCTGGAGTTGGTGACCTCATCGCAGCACAAACACCTACACTAGATTAAATGATATGTCCTGCTGCTTCCAGGGACTACAGCAGATGTGGCAACTCAACCTTAAGCAAAATGAACCCAACATTACTCTGTTATTTAATGATGGGTAACTACTACCATTACCTAACTTTACCTCTAGGCTTGGCTCCTTGAGCCCACAAAGGTGCCTAATCTGAGGCAACATCGATGCCAAAGTGTCAGAAAACAGAAAATAAATATAGGGAAAGAAGTAAACTTGGAAGGTGAAAACAAAGGCAATGTAATTCAACATGTTGAGGGGGTGGTGGTGAACTCACAGCTTGGTTAATTCCTCTGAGGTTATTAACCAAAAACACAGTTATGTGCAATTAGAGGAAGAGAAACAGCAGAGTGATAAGGAATATGCTGTACACTGATAAGACAGTCTAAATTATCTCATCAGTTGAAGAACCTAATAATTTTATGAAAGCAGGTAAAGCATATGGATTTTAATCAATGTGACTCACATTAAATCTCATAAATTAAGAACAGGCATGACAATAAAAGAGGAGAAAAAACACCAGAATTTTACTAGAAGGGACAGAACTTAGCAGACATGTTTATTATTATTTTTTTTTAAATCAAGGCTCAGTGAATAAATCAAGACAGTTTATACAAAGAGAATATGGAAAGGAGATCAGATCACATGAGTAGCCCTGGAGAACCTAGCAAGGTCTTGGAAGAACAGCATGTTATATGTAAATTCAAAAATCAGCCTTTGTAGGCAGTTGTGTAGGTAGCAACATCAGAAGGTGACAAGATTTGGACTTGAAGAAAAGAGATTAAGAGAGCAGAAACATTTTCAGTTTACTTTCATCTAAAATGCTGACAATTCCAGAGACAGGAGAAAAAATGTAATTACTGAATATTACAGACAACCTGGGTGATGAATACGCAAACATATTCAGAGAGGGGAGCTGAATCGTTTTTGATATCTGGTTAAAAAACAAGGAATAACATAAGGAAGCAAAGGTGCATGGAAAAGAGAAAAAAATCCCACAAAGCCTGAGAAGAGGCTGAGGACCAGGCAGGCAGAAGCTTATCCTTGAATGGTGGGATTCCACCAAGGGACCTGTGCAGCAGAGCAGCTCCTGCAGTGGCAACCCGTTTCTCTGAAGGCTTCAAAAAAAGCCCTGCAGAGCTGAGAACACACTCAGCAAAAACTTAGTGTGATTTGTATGTCATTATTGGGGTGGAGGGGGTTAAAGGGTAGAAGAAGCTGAATCTGAGCAAGTGAAAGGTTCATTCATTGCACTCCACTTTGTCTTTCATACTCCAGGAGCTGGCTCTGCTCATGAGATTGTCCCTAGCTTTCTTCAGACGCTTCTTGAAGGCTCTGCTGAACAGCTGTACACTGGACCAATTTCTCAGTATAAAGTCGATGACTTGACTAGAGCTGCTTTGACCGCATTAAAGGAATGTATTGATGAGCTTTCTCCTGAGCATGTAAAGGCCCTCGTCAACCTGCTGGTAATTCACTCCTTTTATTATTATTATAAATGTATGTAACTGTGCAGCCTTGTGCCAGATTTTGGACCTAGAGCACCCAAATACGTTAACTTAAGCATCCCTTGGACTCAGGTTTGGTTGCAGACCAGCACAAAGCTTCCAAGTGCTTTGAGAGACTGACAAACAAAAGATGGTCTCTGCAACAAATACCATAATTTTTCTTACTGGCTAGAATTTATGGAGATGCTACCTCCCCTGTGGAAAAAGCACCTGCTTCATGCAGGTGTGTTTTTAGGAACAGAGCCAAGATGAAAGAAAACTTCTAGGTAATACCAAGAAAGACTCTGGCATATGTGACACACTTGCTCTTTGTTAGTGTTCACACATAAGCTCACAACATGTACTGACCTGGTGAGCACCTGCAGGTGCGAGACTAAGCCTTTGTCCTCACATAAGTTCTGCCAGAGGTTACAACTTCAGTATATCGTTCAAGTATCATAGGTAAGTCTGGCTTTTCTCTGCAGTTGTATATTTTGGCATGCTACGTTCACTGCTCTGACTTTCTGTTTCAGAAACTTGTTCGGACAGAGGCTTAAATTGGCAAAATATTTGACCCAGCTGCTGATAACACTCCCTGATGACTTCCAGTTTCTCATATCCAAAGCCTCTGGGAAAAGAACAAATACAAAAAATGGAGAAAACTACGACGCTGGCAGCTGTTTTTCTAAACTCTCTGTGCTGAGTATTACACTCTGTCACCTTCTAGTCTATTTTAGATCTTATTTCTTTAGAGATAACATCTAAGTTCTAAATAAAATTCAAATAGTGTTTTAAAATTATTTCTGTCATCTGTTTTTATAAATAAAGGTCTTTTTTTCTCCTTACTGCTAGGACAAGATGCTGTTTGTTTTGGTAAAGTCTAAACAACAGCATTATTATATATAGTGACTCACCCACAACACACACAGACACAGCACAAACATGCACATGGGTCAGCAATTTAACTCTGAATGACTTGAGGGAATCACGTCCTCAACCAAAGCAACTTTCCAAGTGTTGACGATTTTTCAAAATAAATGCAGTAGTTCTGATAGCAAAGGATCCAAAACTCACTGAGCATGAGCTGAACATCAGCTCACTTTGGACCACTCTCATGGCGCTCCGAGCATCCCCAGGCGGCACACACACACGGTGTCAGCACTGACTACAGCAAAAACCTGAAAGCAAGCTGGATGCCCAGTGATTCCCAGTGGAAAACTGGGCAGACAGCACAATTGCACCTCACCCCACAGCTCTTGGCTGCTCCTTTGCAGATGGGACTGAGAGAAAAGTACCAGAAGGGACAGTGTACCTTCTAAACACACAAGAAAATGGCTCCTTGTACATCTTCTTTGGTGCTTTCCTACCACTTCTCTTCAGCTTCACACTCTCCTACTAGGTATACTGACTCTACATGAACTCACAAATGCAGTGAGGATTGAGGGAAGGGTAATGTCCTTTTTCTGGAACGAACTGATGTGTAATCTTGAGTATAGACTGCTCTATGGGAAAGTGAGCCAACAAAGGTGTTCACCCATTGCCCATCTCTTCCACCTCACATCCCTGCCACATGCTTTTGCCCATGGTGCCTGTGCCATGGGGTCCACCCCCAGGACACCACAAAGGTGCCAAAGAGCAGAAGCAGAACATTTTTTAACTGCCACTACATATATGTAAAAGCAGAGCCATCCCAGGCTAGCTAATTCTCAGTGACACTGACCTTCACAGGAAGACAATGAGCAGTGAGGCTGACCTAGATCTACCTGCCTCAGACGGTCAGTACCACTCCTTGTCTTTCAAAGACAGGACCAAGTTCAGTGAGTGACAAAACCCAGCATTTGCTGCTTTCCAAAACTTGCAGAAGGCTCCTGCACAGGTGCAGAAGCCACCCTGACAAGAACAACGTTGTGCACGTTGGAAAATCTTTTTGGTTGAAGGCAGACGACAGCAGGGGCTGAGTAGTTTGTCACCATGGGCAGAGCATAGCCTGACATTTCCAAGCCTTGTTCAAGTGACTGCAAAGGACAACGTGAAGGAAATTTGTCCTAGCAAATGGCCTGGATCATTAACATTACCAAACGGGACCGACCTTTTGGTCACAGAGGATGAATGATCCCAGCTGAAGGGGATGTGCATGACACATGCAGGGGGCAGCCAGGCCCATGAGAACTTGCATACTTTACAAAAGGGGTTGCAGGGAGCCAGTTTTACCAAGAAAGGCAATCTGCAAAGTCCTTTTTTGCACAGATTAGCAATTGAAAGTCCAGGATGCTGATGTCCTGCTGAAGGATCACAGCAGGTCTTTCTGAAGACAAATAATGTTATCTGAATCCAGATCTCTGCCAGTTTGGCCCAATTATTTTAACAAAAAAACTGCTCTGATTACAGGAACTGCACAAGAGCAGATTATACAATTGCCAATATACAAGCATCCCATTTAAGTATACTGCCCATATGGCCTATCACTCTTGCTACTAACAGAAGCAATTTAACATTGGACCAATGAGGTCAAGGAGTTCACCAGCTCAGAAAAAGTGAAGGGTATGTCCATGTACTTCTCGTCCTACCAAGGATTCAGTCAAACAATAAACCTGTTTATTAAAAGCAGGATGCAATTCTTTTCGTATGAGCAGAACTGAACATTATTCTGTCTGTTCCAGGAACATGAAAAATGGTGGTTGTTCTTGCTGCTTTATTGTGAACCAAAATGAAATGTTTCTTCTCTGAAATCAAAAGTAAAAACAATTTACTTCTACTTTCTCCTTCCTTCTCATCCAGCTGAGGATACTTCTAAGAGAAAGAGCTAATTTTGCCACCATGCATAAATGCATTTGAACAAAAAGCACTCGCCAGCTCTTCTTTCTCTCTTAATCCCAAACCCAGAGATAGTCTCCAATTATCATACAAGTCTGCAAAGCGAGAATGCAATATGAAAAGAAATACAATCCCATAAGAAGACATGATATGCCTCTCAGGATACCTCACTTTAATTTTTGGATCTGCCACAGAAATCAGTGATGTCACAATTCGTATCTGCCCCCATTCCCCTGAAAGCAAGTCTGATCACTCTTAGTACAGGTTGTCTCTTAGTAAGTCTGAACACTCATGCTCAGCAAGAAAACGGGGACTGGGGGAGGCTTTCTAAGGTAGCTGTTGCCCGAAGGTGGCTGGGCATCCGCTGTTGCCCAAAGGTGGCTGGGTATCCATCTGCTGCTGAGAGGTGGTTGGTGGATGCTGTTGCATCACTTGTTTTCCTTTTTTTTTCCACACACTTGTTAAACTGTCTTTATCTCGACCCTTACATTCTTCTTGCTTTTGCCCTTCGAGTTCCCTCCCCCATCCTGCTGTGGGGGGGAAAGGAGGGAGCGAACGGCTGGCCAGGGGCAACCCTCCAGTTTCCAACCTTGTTTAACAAACAATACCAAAATGGCCTTCCTTACTCCAGGGTGAATAAATGTTGTGAAGGAGCTGTAACTGCCAGTTGCTGTGCCCACAGTTGCTGGCAATGGGAGATCCCTGACCTGAGCTGGAGAGTTAATAATGTTGAATTCTCAGCTTGCGCTTTGTATCTTTTGATGCTTTTCCAAGAGGTCTGTGTCATGATCTTAATGTTAGAGGGAAGTGAGGGAGCAAAGCTCTCATTTCAGTTGCTCAGGCTTCTCCATTCAAGGGACCCCAGTGTCTGCAACACTCCTCAGATGCTCCTGATCTCTTCCAGCAGGAGGGTCTGTCTGTCTGTCCATCTCTCCAAGATGTCTGGGGAGTCCATGGTGACCAGGCTTTTCACCAGAGACAGATGAAGTGAGTTTTCCAAAGCCACCCTGGGAGGGCTGGGACAGCGATGAGAAGTTTGATTCTTCTATCAGTAGTGTGCAAGCATTTACACATCCAGTGTAAGCGTCCCCAGCATTTCATGCTGCAGGGGTTTGTGCCTCTAAGTTAAGGACCCCAAGGATTACCCAGCACTTTGTTTAGTACCCACTAAGGTTTTTGGTCCTTGACTCTTATGGTTTGGGACCCTTATGGATGCTCGGTCTCTCATCGCTGTTGGTCCATTGCTGTCTCATCCCTGCATGGGACAGGTGAGGGGCTTCATTCACCTTACAAACCCCTGCTGTGCTGGCTATCCCTGGCCCCTGCAGACACCCTTCATCCCAGCCCGGAGGTGGGGAATCTGTTTGGCCAGGGCCAGGGCTCAGAGGGCTGCTTCTCCAGCACAGCCCTTCCCCAACCACACACCCAGGGCATTGCCTGTGCCCCTGACCCTGCTGCTGTGCCCCCCCACCCCCGGGCACCCCAGGATCCCCTTGCAGTGCCTGGCAGCGATGAGCAGGAGCTGCACGAGTAGCACTGACCCTGCTGAGGTCCCGCAGCCAGCTGGGGTGCGCAGAGAGGCAGCCCCCTTGCTTGTGTGAGGCCTTGGGCGCGTGCGAGGTGCTCATGAGTGGTGGCTGGGAGGGCACTGGCTGCTCATGTGAAGGCTGGACAAGGCACTAGGTACCTCCAGGTTGCTCATGGGAGGGGATGGATGCTCCTTGGGTGCTTGTGCAAGGCACTGGGTGCACACAGGGTGCAGCAGAGGGAAGAGGAAGGGTTTTTGTGCAAGGGGCCGGGTCTGCCTCCCCTCCCCACTGGCCCATGGGGACACAGGTGGCCAAGGGACCCAGGCATCTAGGTGACCCCTCTTCAATTCTACATACCCCCACTGCCTCCCCCCAGGAACACAGGCATCTGTCCCTGTTGTGCCCCATCCCCACCCCACACACAGACAGGGGACGTAAAGCACAGCTCACACATACTTTATTTATTGTCCCCAACTGTGACAAAGGGGCTGTCCCCAGCATGTTCCCAGGCATGAGGGGACGTCACCGAGGTGGGGTATGACATGGTATGTCACTGGGGCTGCAGGGACAACACGGGGTGTCAGCACACACTGAGGGTGTCACTGGTTTGGGGGGACAATGTGGGCTAGAGGTGGGAGACATGGGGTGACCCTGTGTGGGGGCATAGGACGTTCTTGTGTGTTGCCATGTGGGGGAGGACACATGCAATGTCCCCATGTACATGTGGGGAGTCATAGGGTACAGGTCTGTCCCCAGATATATAACGGGACCTAAGACATGTCCCCCTCTCAGAGATGTCCCCACTTGGCTGTGCCCCATGGTGACACAGCTGTCCCATGTCCCTGCATCCCCCCACTACGTGATGCCACGTCCTGTACCTCAACCCATGCCCCTGTGTGCCCCCATGTCCTACCCGCGCTCGCAGATGAGCTCGACGACACTGTGCTCCATGGGGACGGGATCGAGGCAGCGGTGGGCAGCGCTGGCGGCCACCTCATCCAGCAGCCCCTGGACCACCCGCTCGTCAGCTGCAAAGCGCCAGAGGTAGAGCTGCAGGTAATGGCCGTCCACCTGCACCTGCTGCAGCCCAAAGCGCCCCAACGTCCGCAGCCGCACACACTCCAGCAGCGTCTTTAGGCTGATCTTGATTATCCCAGTCAGCACTGATACCTGGGACATGGGGGTAGCAGGGACATGTGGCACAGGGGGGGCCAGAAGGCCCCCCTGAGTCACATCTGCATGGGCATGTGGGGACATTGGGGACGCCCCTCTCCAGGCCATCAGCTCCTAGGACGCTCTCATCCTGGTCACCAGTCCCAAGGGATCCCCTCAGTCCTGACACATGGGATGTGGGGACACTGGGGACATGTGTCACAGGGGAATGGGGGCTCCATCGGCCTGGATTCTTCAAGCGCAGGGAGGTCCCAAGTCCCATCAGCAATGGGCATATGGGTGACAGGAGGGATACCCTTGTCCTGGCTGCCACCCCCAAGCTTGGACACATGGGACAGTGTGACATAGAGGACACATGGCACAGGGGGATGGTGACACGCTTGGCCTGGCTGTTGGGAACACAGGGAAGCCCCAAGTCAAGCCAGAGTAGGGACACAAGGACACACCTGCCCTCATCATCAGCCGCAGGGACCCCCTGTGTCCCAATACCTAGGACAAAGGAGCATCAGGGGACAGTGGGAACACCCTTGTCCTGGTCATTGGCTCCTGCGGATGCCCTGGGCCCCAACACCTGGGTCATGGGGGACACCAGGGACATGTGACAGCTGGGAAGGTGGGCAGTTTAGGGGCCCTTGGGGATATGGGGACCAGGGGGGCCCTTGGGGACATGGGGATGTCCCCATGGCCTCACCTTGTTGAACTCGACAGGGCTGAAGATGTCAACGCGTTCGGAGAAGAGCTTCTGGATGTTGCTGAGCAGGTGGGTGTCCATGGGGGCACTGGGGATGGTGACACCAGGACAGTCAGGGACATGGGGCCAGTCACATATTTGAGAAAGCCAGGGGATGTGGGGGCAGGGACAGAGGGACTGTCAGGAGACACAGGGATGGGGACACCGAGATGGTCAGAGGATGCAGGGATGGTCAGGAGATATTGGGACGGTTTGGGGACACAAAGACAGGAACATGAGGATGGGCAGTGGATGTGGAGACAGTCAGGGAACGTGGGGATGGTCAAAGACACAGAGACAAGACAATCGCGGGATGCAAGGCACTTGGGGATCATCAGGGGATACTGGGACAGTCAGGGGGAACGTGGGGATGGTTGGGACATACGGGGATCAGAAATTATTGGGACAGTTTGGGGACTTGAAGAGGGTCACGAGGAAGACACAGTGGGTACCACAGGGGTGACACAGCGGCCCTGGGGTGACCAGAGAAGGCCCAGGGGGTGGCCGAGAGGTGTCTGGGTGACAGGGCTGACCTGGGGGTGTAGCTGGGGGCATAGCGCCCAGGTGCCCGTGAGCTGCTGTAGACGGAGAAGGCACGCCGGCTCGAGTCGCTGCTCTGCGCCCGCCGCACCCCCTCCTCGAAGAGCTGCCCAACCTGCGGCACCGCACCCTCTCAGTGCTGGTATCCCAGAATCCACCCAAAATATCCTCTGGGACCGTTTCCCCCCCACTGCCCCTGCCAGGATCCCTCAAATCCTCTGTGACCCTCCCAAACCCTTCTGGGACCCTCAAAGATCCTGAAGGACCACATGGGGATCTTGGGCATCTCCTCTTGACCCTTCACGGACTTCAGCTCTCCGCCACCAAGACCCTCTGGGACTCCCAACTCTCCCAGGAACCCTCTGGGACATCTGGAAACCACCGGGGACTTCAAGGACCCCTGCAGAGGCCCTCTGGGGACTTCCTAAAGTCCTCGAGGACCTTATGGGGACCTCAGGGCCTCTCCATGGACCCTCCGGGACACGTGGGACCCCCTGGGGGACTTCAGGACCATCCCCAGCCCCTCTGGGCTCCTGGTGTTGCCCCAACCTGGACATCGATGGCGGTGATGTCCTCGACCACGCGCTTCATGACAGCACGAACGTTGCGGGGCTCGACGGTGCCCAACCAGTCTCGTGTCTCCACGCTCTTCCTAAGCATCTGTGCCACTGCGGCACCCTGGACCTGCACGTAGTGGTCGAGCAGCCGTTGCGCCGCCCCCCGCGCCTCTGCACACAGTGCCGGTCCCGGTGTCACCACTGGGCCTGTGTCCTGGGAGGTGCAAGGGACATGAAGACGTGTGGAGATGTGTAGGAATACCACCCGACACCTCTGCGCACAGCGTTGTCCCCACCATCTCCACTGGCCCTGTGGCCTGGGGATACAAGGGACATGGGACATGTGGGGATGCCTCCCATGCCTCTACCATCTGATGTCCTGGGGGCACAGGGACGTCAGGGGACACATGGGATGCTCTTCAGGCCACCCCACCTGCAGCAGCATCGCTGCCATCCTCATATCCTTGGGGCATCTGGGGGGGCTTGGGGACATACAGAAGCCCCTTGGGTACATTTGGGAGACACTGGCACAGGCAAGGACCCTTCTGCCTCCACGTGCACTGCCATCCCCAGGGTCATATCCTGGATGGACATGGGGCAACAGCAGGGCACAGGGAGGGACTTGGGGACATTTTGGGGTCCCTCAGGGACATCTGGGGGCACACAAAGACAGAAGGAAGATCCCATACCTCCACACACACCACGGTACCCACCACTGTGTCCTGAATAGATGCTGGGACACAGAGGGATGCAGAGCCATTTTGTGACATCTTGGGGACATTCAGGGTCCCCTTAGGGCCATTTTGGGGCCAACTGGGGAAGTTTTGGGGGCTCACCTGAGGAGGAAACTGTTCATCGGTGAGAGTGAGAATGTAGCTGATGGTGGTGGCCTCATAGTCAAGGCAGAGGCGGGCAAGGAGCAGCAGCAGGGCTGGGGGTGCCGCGGGGGCCCCCCGCTCAGCTGGGCCATCGGCGAAGCCCCGGGCGGTGCGGCAGAGCCAGCGCACGAAGGCCACAACCAGCCCTTCGCGCACTGCCTCCACGCAGAACTCCCCCTGTGACCAAAAATGGGGGGTTACACCCCAAAAATACCACCCTGGAGCCCTGAAAAACCACAAACTACCCTGTACAATCTCCAAACTGCCCCAGTGACCCTCAAACTGCCCCGTGCTACCTCCAGATTGCCCGTGACCCCCCCAGTCTGCCTTGTGCAAGCCCCGACCTGCCCTGTGCAACACCCAAACTTCCTTGTGCCAAACCCAGATTGCTCCAATGACCCACCAAATGCCCCACGCAACTGCCCAAACCGCCCCACGCCGCCCCACAGCCCACCTTGAAGTAGGGCAGGCTGGCGAAGGCGACATCCTTGGCAGTGAAGAGCTGCACGTAGGCCAGGACAGCCTTGAGCTGGCCAAGAACGGAGGAGGCGAGCGTGGCCAGCAGGTCGGGCAGGCCGGGACCCTCCTTGCCGGGGGGCCGGGGGGCGGCCAGCGCCTGGCGCACGTCACCCAGGCACCCCAGAAAGAAGGTCTGCAGTGCCCACAGGTAGCGATCCACCCGCTCGCGCGCTGCCCGGGCCACTAGTGCGGCACCTGCCTCGGCCCCGGCCGCAGGCAGCAGCTCAAGGAGGGCGCGAAGGCGGCGGTGGAAGCGGTCGAGCGCCCGCACCAGCAGCGAGGTGTCGCCCAGGCCCCGCTCCAGCGCCAGGCGCCGCTCCAGCAGCTCAAAGTAACGGGTAGTGAGGGTGGCGGCAAAGGCTTCCAGGCGGCCATCCCCAGCCCCTGGGCGTCCCTCAAAGAGGCTGCGGTATGAGGCCGTGAGGAGGCACAGGTTGCCCACAAAGGCAGAGCTTCCACGGTCAACGAAGTCAAGGATGTCGGAGGCGGGGGGCGGCGTGGCGGCGGTGGCGCCAGAGGGGTCAGCTGGGTGCAGCTCAGCCTCCAGCGCCGCCAGCTCAGCCTCGAGGCGGGCGCCGGCGTGGCTCAGGAACTCCTCGCACAGCTCCTCAGGTGGCTCTTCCAGCTGCAACAGCATCTCCACGCACTCGGTGAGCTCCTTGGGGTCCAAGGTGTCATCCCTGAGGGGGTGGGGGAAATGAGGGGGTTACTTGGGGATGGTGGCAGGTTCCGGGGTTAACAGTGGCACAGCAAAAAAATGGAATAAGCAATAAAGGTCATTAGTAGGCTTCAGAGTAAACAGTAATTATTCAAAAAACAAAAGGGAAAAAAAATACTTAATAGCATCAGCATGTTCCAAAGTTAACAGTGGTTACAGTAATACAAAAACTCACTAAAGATAACTCTCACCTCACTAAAGTAGGTTCCAACATTTACAATAATAATGAAAAATCACTAAAACTCCTCAGTAGGTTCCAGAATTATCCCTTTACCATAAACACATGAGAAAAAAAACATGTAGCGGAACCTTTTAAAAGCTCTCAGTAGTGATCAGAATTATCCCCCTTCCTCTATGAATGTTATGCACGAGGCGTGGTTCCTGGGGTTGTTATTGATATGCTCCAGGGTAAATGCCCCCCTCCCTAGGATGTTTCTTGGGGGCTGTTATCATTAGGCTCCAGACCTGACACCCCCGACCCCTTGACAAACTGTCTCCTGCAGCTGTTACCAGTAGTCTTCAGAGTTAACATACCATGACCACCACCACCCCTCCAAGAAGGCTGTTTACTAGAATGGCTATCATTAGTCTCCAGAGTGAACCCCGCAAAGGCTGTTTCCAGAGCATCAGTAGGCTCCAGAGCAAACATCCCCCAAAACCCCATTTCCCACAGCTGCTGTCAACAGGCTCCAGAGTGAACGCACCGGAGTCGCGTGCGGAGGCGCTGGGCCAGCTCGGCCATGATGGCGTGGCTCTCGTCCTCGATGGCGCGGAAGGAGGGCAGGTGGCGGTAGTGGCGGAGCACAGCACGGGCACGGGCGTGGCAGCGCAAGGCCCGCACAGGCTCTGCCCCTGGTGCTGCCCACCGCCGCAGCCGCCCCGGCACCTCCACCAGGGACTGCAGCTTCCGCAGCAGTGCCTGCACCCCTGGGGGGGGTCAGGGGCAGAGTTAGGCATGGGGGCAAGAAAGTTATTGGGGTGGGATTAGCAAATGTGGGCGCGGCCAGGGGCTG